AATATTTTTATTTTTGAATAAAATATAAATTTAAAAATATCATAAAATTTTGAAAACAAATATCGATATCAGTATTAAATTAATCTTTTTAAAAGTTCTTGTGTTTTGGTGTAATTTTCTTAATTAAATTCTATTAATTATCAATGATTATATTTTAGATTTTTTACATTTAAAATGAGATATTTATCAAATATTTGATTATGTTTTTCTGCAGTTAGTTAGACGAATTCAAGTACAGAGCTTTAATAAGTTGTACTTATGCATAATTTATTTGTAATCTTAAATTTTAAGTAATATGCATCAATAAATAATACTTCGTGCATAAAAAATTGTTTTTAAGAGTTTTTGTCAAATGTTTTATAATATAGTATAAAGTATGTGTTTAAAAAAAACAATAATGATTTTATTTTTGAATAAAATATAAATTTGAAGATATCATAAATATTTATAATATATATATATATATATATAAATGTTAATGTCAAATCAAATATTTAAAAGTTTCATTTTTTATGTAATTTCTTTAATTTATTTTTTATTATAATTTAATCTAAGGGGGTGTTTGGGAAAACAACTTATTGACTTATTCCGGTGTGGCATCGGTAATAAGCACTTTTGAGTGTTTGGGTAAACAACTTATACCGGTGTCAAACCGGTAATAAGGAGTTTTTTAAGAAGTTAAACACTTCTGACTTATCATAAGTTAATAAGTGCTTTTGTAGAAAAGCCATAAGTTGTTTCAGATAAGCAATCCCAAACACCCCCTAAGTTTAATAATAAAATAATTTATTTTTGGTTTAATAATATAATATTTTATAAAGATAATAATTAAGTATTATGTTAGAACTCAATGATTATCCTAATTGTATTTTAGATTTTTTATATTTAAAATGAGATGTTTATCTTGTATTTGATTGTATTTATCTGCAGTTAGTTACACAAATTCAGATATGAGATGAAATCGGATATGGAGAAAATCATTTAAGGATGAACGAGTTTAAGAGTTTTAGCCAAATGCTTTATAAGATAGTATAGATATATATAGAGAGAGAAAGAGAGAGAGAAGGCTAGGTAGGTAGGTTCAAACAATAATATAGTCAATTTGCGAAAAGAAATATACGGAGCACATGATCCATTAATTAAAAAATAACATAAATACAAAATAGAATATTATTTCAAAAATTAGGATACTTACTATTTTGAATTGGATAAATCTTAAAATATCATTATGTATTTTAGAATTATTTTTTAATTTTTAATTAGTTTCGAACTTTTTATCAAATTTTATATAAAAAAAGTTCTACATACATTTTTGATTAAAAAATTCACAATTTTTATTAAATATCACATGTGATATCCACAATAAATTCGTTATCTTTTTTACTATAATGTGAATTTTTATACACATTATATATAATAATATATGTCTAAATATAAATAATATTTATACTATATTATAAAGCATTTGACAAAAACTCTTAAAAACCATTTTTTATGCATGAAATACTGTTTATTGATTCATATTACTTAAAATTCAAGATTACAAGTAAATTATATGTATGTACAACTTATTAAAGCTTCATGTTTTAATTAATGTAACTAACTATAGATAAACATAATCAAATAGAGAATAAACATATTATTTTAAATATAAAAAATCTAAAATATAATTAAGATAATCACA